GGGGGGGGGGGGGGGAGGGGGGGAAGCATCAATTTAAAGTTAAGCATATAAAAAACAACAATATTTAAAAGAAAACAACTGGAAAAATATATGCAACAGATATGACATATAAGAAAGGCTCAACATCCGTAACATATGCAGATCACTAAACAGTAGCAAATCAATAAATAATAATAGCAAACACTCCAATATAAAATTAGGCAAAGGATACCAGGCAGGTAATTCAAGAAGAAAATTAAATGGCCGGTAAACAATTGGGGAAATACACAGTCCATTCTATTAAAAAATGCAAATTACAAAATGTCACTCTTGAACCTTCATATTAAACATTAAATAATGTCTCTCTTCAATACTGGCCAAAGTTGCAGAGCCAGATAGTCCCAGGCACTGCCAGGAATAGGATTACTACAATCATTTCGATAGTAATTTGTCAATACATACCAAAATCCTTCAAGACATACATATTCTTTGATTTGAAATAGCTCCTGGTTGTCAAAGTGTAGCCAATGGATTCCTAGAGTCCCTGAGACCCTCTCAGGGGTCTATAAAGTCAAAACTACTTTTATGGAAGTAATAAGACATGATTTGCCTTTTCCCCTGTGTGAAATTTGCATGGAAGGTGCAAAACCAATGGTAGGTATGCACAAATCAAGGCCAGGCAAACTGTGTTCTAGGAGTCACTATAAATTTCCCTGCCACATACTTACAGGGGAAAAAAAAAAATGCCAGTTTCATATAAGAATATCTTAAGATTCACTTATTATTAATTTTATTAAATCTCAACACTTGAATGCACATCCTCTTAACATTCTATATGACAAAATAAGAAGTAAATACATGGGGGGGGGGGCACCTGGGTGGCTCAGATGGTTAAGCGTGTGACTTCAGCTCAACTCAGGTCATAATCTCACAGTTTGTGGGGTGAAGCCCGGCGTCGGGCTCTGTGCTGACAGCTCAGAGCCTGGAACCTGCTTCGGATTCTGTGTCTCCCTCTCTCTCTGCCCCTCCCCTGCTCGTGCTCTGTCTCTCTGTCTCTCAAAAATAAATAAACATTAGTGGGTGATAGGCATTGAGGAGGGCAGCTGTTGGGATGCGCACTGGGATGAGCACCTGTTGTATGGAAACCAATTTGACAATAAACTTCATATTAAAAAAAATCATACTAAATAAATAAATAAATAAATAAATAAACATTAAAAAAAACAACAACAACAACCAGTAAATACATGGGGCACCTGGGTGGCTCCGTTGGTTAAGCATCCGACTTCGGCTCAGATCATGATCTCATGGTTCCTTGAGTTCAAGCCCCATGTCAGTCTTCTGCTGTCAGTACTGAGACTCCTTTGCATCCTCTGCTCCACACCCCCCGCCCCCGTACCCCACTGGTTGTCTGTCTCTCTCTGTGTCTCTCTCTCAAAATAAATAAACTTAAAAAAAACACATACAAAGTACATCTACTGCATATCGAAGTATGATGACTGACTCACGGGAGAACACTTACATGATTGTTTGAGAGCTGAACTAGCTGCTTTTTCCATGGGACACCATTTTTACTTGAATGAGCAATGAACAAAGTATAATTATTCAGATTTGGGTATCTAGAAAACACTTTCTCAAAAATAAACATGAACCTGTCACTTAAGGAAAACAACCGGTAGTATTTATTGCCAATGATAAAATTTGAGCTTTCAAGGGAAAATTCAAATATTGGAAAACTCTGAACCCATCACCATAAGCTTGACAGCTTCAAATTTTACAGACTTTTCTGATGAGATCAGTGGGATATTAACAAATATGATTTTTTGATATTGTATAATGAAAGGTGACAACATTGAAAGATTTACATAACTCACAACCAACATTTTGCACACAATGCACAGATGACAAAAATAACGCATGGGTGAAAGATCCACTCCAAGTTCAAGACAGGCCTATGGACTGCAATACACACTGATAGTGGATATCCATTGAGAGTGAAATGCTCCATGATATGGTTTCACCTTCTACACTGCAATTAACCTTTAAGAAAACACTACTTGTTAGGTTGTATGTAGAACAAAAATATCCACCATTATCTAAAAATTCTATTAAATCATTCTTATCTTTTACAACTACATTTGTCTGGGGCCAGGGTTTCTTCATATTCCTTAATCAAAATAACATATTACAGTAGGCTGAAGGTAGAAGCAGATGTCTTCCTTCTATTAAGACAGCCATTAAAGGGGCGCCTGGGTGGCGCAGTCGGTTAAGCGTCCGACTTCAGCCAGGTCACGATCTCGCGGTCCGTGAGTTCCGAGCCCCGGCGACTCTGGGCTGATGGCTCAGAGCCTGGAGCCTGTTTCCGATTCTGTGTCTCCCTCTCTCTCTGCCCCTTCCCTGTTCATGCTCTGTCTCTCTCTGTCCCCAAAATAAATAAACGTTGAAAAAAAAAATTTTTTAAAAAAAAAAAAAAAGACAGCCATTAAAAAGATGTGCAAAAGTGTAAAAAAAATACCATTTTCTCACTACTTTTTTGAAATGATGGTTGATTTTGTTTTGTATTTTTTTATTTATTGAATTTTGAAACCAACGAAACAAATCTCTTGAAACAGAGGAAGGGGGCTGGGGAAAGTCTCAACTCGGTGCTGTCAGTGCAAACCTGGGAGGCTCGTCTCACAAGCTTGTGAGATCATGACTAAAAATCAGGAAGTCCAATGATAGCCAACCAACGGGGCATACACGACAGTATTGTAAAAAAATAATTTTGCCATAATGAAAACTAGCAAAGCCCAACTCCATCTACAGTTTATAGGAGGTGTAAATGACCCAATTCCTTGTTTGCAGATTATTAGTAGCACAATTTCTCCAAATAGTTCAGTGGAAGGATTAGTTCTTCTCTACAGACAATTGTTGGTTGGAAAAATGAAAATTATTTGGCCATATCATGAATAAAAGAGAAAAGAAAGGGGGCGCCTGGGTGGCTCAGTCAGCTGAGCATCCGACTTCAGCTCAGGTCACGTTTGATCTCACATGATCAGTGAGTTCGAGCGTCTGGCTCTGAAAACTCCAAACCCAGAAACTCTTTTTAATATTGTGTCTCCCTCTCTCTCTGACCCTCCCCCGTTCATGCTCTGTCTCTCTCTGTCTCAAAAATAAATAAACATTTAAAAAAAAAAGAGAGAGAAAAGAAAGAAAGGAAAGGAGAACAGAAAAAAGAAAAGAAAAGAAAAAAGAAAAGAAAAGAAAAAAAAAAAAAAAAAAAAGGCAGAGTTGAGGTGGTTCAGTTAAGCATCTGACTTCAGCTCAGGTCATGATCTCACAGTCCTTGAGTTCAAGCCCTGTGTCAGGCTCTCTGCTGACAGCTCAGAGCCTGGAGCCTGCTTTGGATTCTGTGCCTCCCTCTCTCTCTCACTCTCTGCCCTTCCCCCGCTCATGCTCTGTCTCTCTGTGTCTCAAAAAGAAATAAACATTAAAAAAAATTAAAAAAAAAAAAAGAGCATAAGAGAACAGGCATGGTGTCCTAAACCAAGGGCATCCTTCATCAGTGTACTTCGTAAGTCCTTCATAAGCCTATGGGGAGTTTACCTCTTATGGAGAAGACAGGGAAAAAAAAAGAAAAAAGGAAAAAGAGGAAGAGAAAGAGAAAGAGGTGAAGAAAAAGAGGAGAGGAAAAGAAAGAGAAAAATACAGTAGTAATATAAGAACACAAGGAGAACAGAAGATCTAAATGCATGCTCTATCTTAAAACTGCCCAGAAAAATCTACCTATTCCCTCAGCTAACTAGCCTTCACCCATTTCACTGCTCATTGGCAGAGTTGACAAGAGTTAATGAAAGATAATTAAATTCCAATTTGTCAGTTTTGTTCCTTGTTAGAAAGTCTGATAAAGAATCTTAAAAACTATAAAAGGAGAAATATTGCCTTTAATTATATCTGGACAATATTAAAAACAGATTCCTTCATTTTACAGATTAGGAAAACTGAGTCTCCCCCAAAAAAATTGGGGTCATAAAAGACCTTTAACTTCCTCTTCAATTTGTACTTTATTAATACCAATTATCCAGTAATCTCTTTTTCTTCAAGAAAACACTTCTTTGATGGTATCCGTTAAAGGGTTACACCTCAAGGACAAAGAGGCTCTCCATTAGGGGTTAATCATGCTCAGTGCCACAAAACAAATGGCACAAATTTGGACATGGTTTTGAATCAGAAGAAAAGTAAACAAACATTCTATACTTTAACTTGGCCAAAATACAATAACTTGGTTTCCTAGACTGCTTCTTTGTGTCATGTCTGGGCCTCAGTGCACATATCTTTAAAATGAGTAAGTCTATAATATAGAGTTCCTAAAGTCCCTTCTTAGAAAGTTGGATAATCTTAAAGTCACCGAAAACAGATGAGTTCTGGGGAGGTGGGAAGTATGAAATACACCTGGAATGTGTATATATATGGTTGTTGAAATGGCCAATGTTGACCCAAGAGTGGAGTCCCTAGAGCACCAATCTCTCTGACTGGACTGAGATCACTTAACTGCTTTAGAGTCAAAGTTGAACAGTAGGAGGTCCCTTTCCGCCCCTGGTACCTTGTTTCTTTCCAGGGTCCAATTGAAAAGGGTCCTCCATTTCCTCCTTCTGGATCTAGAATTTGTATTTCCACTTTGGGAGGGCCCTGCCACCTATCATTCATTCCTAGTATCTGTCAATTAAACACTAGGCATTTATGAAGCACCTACTATGTGCACCCATCACCGAGAACACACCAAGTTTTCAATAAACATTAATGGACTTAAATACAATTTCAAGGCCTTGGAAAGCTGCCAGGGATTCATCCATTTAAGAGTCTCTTGTGGTAGACAGGTGAAAGAAGCAACCTCTTCACATCCCTGATCTCCTAAGACCAGACACTCTTGTTCCTCCCCGCTCATGTGTGACACGTGTTTCCTGAGCGCTGGCTGGGATACCCAAACACAGCTGCTACAGGCAAAGGGCTAAAAGGCTGTGCGAGTGGAGACAGACACTTACCTGGGGAACCTCTGCTTCAGCTTCCTCAGGCTCTGCCTGGTAGGCGGCACAGACACTAGGCACTGGGCTATCTCGTCGTACTGGGCTTTGGTCAGTATCATGTTGGGCCAGGGACTGGGAAGTGGCGAGGACAAGGAAAAAACACCCCGGGCTCCAGCAGCCTTGGTGCCGGGAGACGAGGGGTGGGCACACAGCGGCACGGCGCTGGGTCCTGGTCTTTTTTGGCTTGCTCCTATATCCCCTTTACCACCAGCTGCACAGACAAGGCTTCACACCGCAGCTCGGCGTCGGGGGGCGGGCTGTAGCCCCGATTGCCCTACCTTGGCTTTCTGAGCAGCCGCAATGGGCCCAGCCGAAGGCAACCGGCCGCCATGTTAGTTAAGGGCAAAACAACCAGGAAGTAGCTGTCGTCAGCAGAGGTGGCGCTTAAATCGCCGCGGGCTGGCGTCCCGGCCGCTTCCACCTGGGATCATCCTGGGTTTTTTGCGCAGTTCACACTCTCCCAGCTGCCAGAAGCCAGGGAGCCATAGCGCACAGACCAGGCGGCCGAGCACACGGGTGCCGTACCCACAGTCTTTAAGCTTGAGCCCCGGAAAGCGACTGCTAGGGCGCGCGATTTGAATACGCTTTCAAATGCGCCCGTTTAGCGCAGCTCCAATCCAAGACACCTACAAAGAAAGCTGGCTTCACTCTACCAAAGTCTCTCTGCACTCTGCGACCCTGAGCCTGGCAGTGAAACCCACTAGGGTGGCTGTAGACCTGCAGCTTGGCCTGTGTTGAGGAAAGTCCGGCCACTTCTGCAGCTCGCGTGGAAGGGACTTTTGATTCAGGTTGGAAAACAGTAGAAAACAAATCCGACGTCATCAAATAGCCCGCAGGAAAAAGTATCCCTCTTACTCCCCAGAGTTAGGTACTGCAATCAGTTCTTTCTTCTTTTTGTATTCTGAGCTCTCAGAAAATAGTAGGCGCTCCAGAAATGAGTCATTGAATGGATTACTGTTCTTTAGGTGTTGTGATAGGATCTCAGCCCTCCAGAGGCAATTTATTAGGACATCAGCCCCTCCTTTAATCCCTTTTTAAAAATCTCTGGTTTTTAGACGGCCATGTGTTGTGTTTCTTTTCAAATTGTAACATTTTAAGCAAATGGAAGAAAAAGTGTTTCGATTTTAAAGAATGTGTAAGTAGTAATTTTTTTTTTTTTTTTAAACCTGGAGTAGGGCCTAGATTGGAAATTTAGCTTAGATACGCTTTCTTGGAGAAATTTCTGAATCCATCTAAGCCTTAGTTCCTCTGTCTGTAAAATTGATTTTTAATTCATGGAGTTATTGTTAGCATTTAAATAAATTAGTGCAAGGAACAGATTCTTTAGCATAGGGGCAGATAGTCTGTGTAAGACAAAAAGCCTTTGTAAGACTACTTGATAATGATAGGTCACATGGACATGGCTGTTGACCAGGTATTGTTTGTTTTCCACATATTTAGTCTCCTAATCTTCATAGCTTCTTATGAAACAGGTACCATCGACATGATAATCCTCCTCCTCCCTTTTGTGGGGGGCGAATAAACTGAGGCATGGAAAGTTTCAGTAACTTTCCCAGAGGTCAAGAGAACAAGTAAGCAACCCCAGAGTTTAAACTTTCAAAATTTGGTTCCAGGGTCTGTGGTCTTGCCACCATTCACTGAAGACCTGCTGCAAACAGAACTCTTAATGCTTAATTACAACACACCAAAAGTAACAACTCTCTTAGGCCAAAGGTTAAGGATTTTTTTTTTTTTTTTTGAAGGGCACAATCTACATTTCAAAGAACCTTTTAGAGCAGGTTTTTAAAAAGCTGCACGGCTTTATTTTCCCACGTGTCTCAAAATCCAATATTAACAGGGAATCCTGAACTCAGCAACCATAGTTTTTTTTTGTTTGTTTTGTTTTTTTTTAATATTTACATCAGAATGTTTTGTTTTGTTTTGTTTTGCCCATATGCTTTGCATCTAGCCCTGGTTGTGTGACATTAGTACATAACTATTTATTTATGGCAGCATGGCCTGGAGTTACCACCTGGCTAGTTTGTTGCTGACCCTGCCATGACTTTTACATGAAAGCTAGCTGACGATAAGCAGGCACTACTTGACCCCCCCATTCCTTTCTCCTTCCCCACTTCACTCTTTCCAATTCACAGCCAACGGATTTTTATAGGAAACATCAGTTCAAGGATGTTTGCTCTAGTTCTTTTTTATGGTGACTCCTCTCTGGCTCTTGTCCTGTGTGCACCCTCACAACTGTTCAGGAAAAAAAAAAACAAAAAACAAAAAACAGGTTTTTCTGTTTCTTTACTTGTAACATGCTGGGAGTTTACAGTTTTGACCCAAATCCAGTAGATCGTTTAGAGTTAGCGCCAGGGGAAAAGCACAGTTATGTTGTTTCTTCATTGGCAGTGACAGTAGGGATGTTTATTATGTACAAAATAGAAGCAAAGCAGAAATGTAGTGGTAGTGGTGTTTAAGTGTTGTTTTATTTATTTTTTAACGTGAAATGCTCAGGGTAAGATAATTACTCCTTTGAGGCTCTTGTCTCTCCCCCTTAACCCTCCCCTTCACTCTTCCCCATCTCTCACATCACACTCCATGCCCCTCATCTGCTTTATTCCTTCTAGAGCTGCCTTTCCATCTCTGAAGTTCCCCTAATGTTTCTCAGTCAGTAATACCATTTCCCCTCTTAAGTGAAATAGATTGTGAAATGAAAATAATACCAAAATAAAACTCAAAGAACTAGCTCCCTGTTTAAAATCAGTCATAAATTGTGTGGCCTTGAGCAAGTGACAGTCTCTCTGATCCTGAGTGTCACGGTGTAACCCCCAAGAAATGGAACATTTTAGTTCTGATGGGGAGAAAGAATCTACAAATATGAAAAATGTGTACGAAATCATAGCAAGAGAATGGGTCAAAGTGGAGAGTAGTCCAGCTACCTCGAAGAGCCAGTAGCCCTGAAAGATGGGCTGGGGAGATTGGCTTGACCAGATCTCTTTCTGCCAATTCCTGGACACTGGACACTGTGAATGACGGACAATTGTAAAGGAGTGTGGGGTTTGGCAGGGAGGCATCAGAAGGTCATTTCAAGAAGAGTGCTAAACACAAAGGACTAAAAATAAGAATGAGCCAAGTCACGCGCATGGGAAAGTTATTCTGGCTGGAGCAAAGAGTTCTAGACAGAGTGAAAAGGAGTTGAACATGCTTGACCTTGGAAAGAGTCAGTCGCATTTTTAAACAGTCTGTTGTTCACTGACTCTGCCAAATTTAATGCATGGTTTTAAAAATACATACTGGCATATTATTTTTATTATATTTTAAAGTCTGATTCAATTCATGGAAACTTGGTAAAGTCATCTCATTGATTATTTTAAAGAATAATTGAAGTTTACTAACAGAATAAAGAAGGGACTTAATATTTAAGCTCCTATTATGCTTAAACCTTATCCCATTAGCCATCATCCCATTATAGTTTAGGAAACTGAGGCTCAAGGAGAGTAAAGAAGTCTCCTGGGTCCAGTTCAGTCACAAAAACCGTGATTTGGATCCAAGCTAATCTGACTGTAAAGCCCCATGTTCTCCATCACCGTGTTCTATAATTCAAAAAGAAAAAACTCTTTGTTTGAAGTTTCCTTAAGTAGCATGTATGCTTCGAACTAGCTGGCTACTTTCTTTGGCCAGCAGCAGTGCCTGCTGAAGAAGTGAGGACCTTCAATTCTGACAGTTAGCCAAAACACACTTTAAAAATCTCATTTGGCATCTTTGAATAGAAGAGATCTCATATTGGTCTCTTCTCCCTATGAAGTACCACCTAAAGCGATGCATCTTTTGGAAGCAGAGTTTACGTTTCCATACGAGCCATCCACGAGTGCCAAGTCCTTTTATCCTGGTCCCAACATAACATGAGCACTTAGTAAACAATAAAGGTCAAAATAATTCAGTTGTCTAGGCTTGCAGCAAGGTCTCAACTAAATGACTTGAGGAAAACAAAAGGAAAAATACAGAAGGACATTCTAAACCATGATGATAAAGCAGTTACTCTGAATAGTCAGAGAAGACCAAAAATCCAAATGTTTGGTTGCTTCATCCAAGACAGTGGTGTATGAACTCCTAGTCTGTCAAACCAGGTGGCCTGATTCCAGAAGGAGTTTATGTGTTGGTGGGGAAATTCACTGAAGACCTGTGTTACAAACAGGACTGGTGTCCTAAGCACACATAATTCAGAATGGCATCTCTGCAAGTCTATGTTATTCAATATTATTTGGGGTGGGGGCACTTACCAAGAGCAGGCACCACGCTAAGCACTTTACATGCATTGATCTTCCCTTAATTCTCAGATCTAGCTTCAAGAGGTAAGTGCTATTATTAAATCCATTTTCCAGATGAGAAACCTAAGGCTTAGAGAGGTGGTTTCTATTTATCCCATCCATTGTTTTACAACATTTTATTCTTTGATGTTTATTTTTATTTTTGAGAGAGAGAGAGAGAGAGAGAGTGCAAGCAGGGGAGGGGCAGAGAGAGTGGGACAGAGAATCTGAAGCCGGCTCCATGCTGACAGAAGTGAGCTGGATGTCGGGCTCGAACTCACAAACCACGAGATCGTGACCTGAGCTGAAGTCAGATGCTCAACCGACTGAGCCACCCAGGCACCCCTACCACATTTTAGAATAGTATTTCTCAAAGTCTCTGCATTGAGGGCTCAGGTTTCCCCCAATTTTTCATGGACAATTATTTCTGTAAAGTACGATAAAAATGAATTACTCAAAAAATGAAATTTAAAAAGGCAAAGACATAAAATGCAAGCCCCCAATTTGTTATTATGAGAGTCAATAGAATTACTCAACCAAATTGATATAAAAGTTTCTAAATGCTTATTCTCAATTTCTGTACTTTTCACATCAAAATGTGTAAGACAAACTTTGGGGACCAGCACTCATTTGCTGGTCACATTTGTGAGTAGTACTGTGTTAGTACTTTAGAAAGCCATTATTGTAAGCCAGGTATGTGCAAAGTCTAGGACATCACACTTTCGTGTACTCTTAGAAGTTTAACCTGTTCCTTTTAGACTTGTAAGTATCCA